CTACGTTCTGTATGACCACACTAAGACAGACTTCCAAACAAAATGGTCGCTAAATTGATGATTTAAGTCTCAATTTCGGCATCCCGAGATTCAAAAGTTGGTGAACTTGAATATGAATATCACATGAATATCACATGCTTCCAACAAAATGAGATTTATAAGCTGTCAAAATTTATCGATTCTTCATGCAAAAAAGTCTAGCATGGCCTTCTTTCGTGCTTCGTGGTCTGATATTCCTTCGGTAATCGATGATCTCCTGGATAACGATGCTCGAGCTAGACTATGATTGGCTCTGATAGGTGCGGGCAACATCCTCGGACTGTCTTGCCTCGACTTCACTGATGATGGTGACGAGATACTCTCTCTGCTTTCACCGATTGTCAAGTTGGCGATGGCTTTCGATCTCTCCTTCATCAAAGCTTCGAGCTTGTGTCGATTGGCTCGTAGAGTGCTGGTCACTGATGTTCTCTTGTTTCCTGTCCACGGTGGTTGTGAAGTAGCTAGAGAGTGCCTCCGTGGAGATTGCGATGGGGGATGAGGACGGGTAAGTTGAGAACTAGGTGTTATTGGCAAAGAGAAGCGACGTCTAGATAGGGCACGAGCGATTGCAGGGTTTCCACCTGTCACATCAATTTTAGGCCTAGATAATGATTCCTGTGATTCAGCTTTGAGTTTCTGGGATGATGATATGTTCGTCACTGCTAAATTGGAATTTGAAGAAGTCTTTTCACCCCTTGCCAGAGGAGTAGGGGAGATGGTTGGAAGCAGTGGATTGCGGCTTGGAGACAGAGATATTCGTCGTGATCGGTCAAACTTTGGTGGTGCACTCAAACATCTATGAAATGAAGCACTACTCGCTCTTCTTCCCATCGTTGTGCGTGATGGAGGGCAAGCAGCAACAGTTCTTGCCAGCACCGTCCATCTGTATCTGCTCTTTATTTCCTTCTCACCTTCTTCTAAATTTACGTCTATCCCATCATCGACTTCGCTTTTGTTGCTGTCACTTTCATTATTATTTTGTTCTTCACTTTCTTCGCCGTCGACGAACCTGAGGGCTTTCTGCGCTTCAGGACTGGCAAACAAGCTTAAAGAAATTTCAGACACCACTGCCGGTTTCACACCCGTAGGTTTCACAAGAGTATGCTCCCCAGATTCATTCCGTTTAGAAAGAGCACCTTCACCACGTCTGATGCCTTCTGTAAAGATAGGTAGTTCCTTGTTCTCTATGACTCGCATTGTGTCAGATCTGTGAGTAAACTTGACGTAGACTGAAGACGACACGAGTAAAGTCTTTTGATATGTTAACTCGACAAGATTCAGAATTGAAATGAGCAGGTCAGTCTCTTCCAAACGTTCCCCACACCTGTCCACTCAGGCGTATAATAGGTATCTAGTTTCACCGACTTTTGGCCTGGTGCCGAGAAAAATCTGATTTTGTTGTCTGAGGACGTAAGTCTTTCACATAAAATGTTTAGCAACAAACCATAAGTTCAATTCATCGATTTGTCCTTATAAGGATCGAGTAAAAGTTCCATAATAAAATCTAATTGCTTGCACCAAAGAATCTCTCCATATTATTCACACATTGATTCCGCAGAAAGTTTTCTGAGCACATATCACACGAGTGAATTTGAAAGATGGGGAGGTTGGGGGGGGGAGGGGGAGGAGGAGGAGGAATTATGATTTACGCACCTAACTGCCGGATCATTACAGAAGGTAGGGGATGCATTAATAAAGCACGTCAAAATTAATGTGGGTATTATTGTCATTTTCGGTTAATGTGCGCCATCATGCGTTCATTCTGTGGACAAAAGTAACAGAGATAAAAAAACAAAATAAAAAAACAAAACAATCTACGCTACGCCTACGAGACGATTAAAAAAAGGGATTAACGTTTTCGTCTTTGTACAAATTACTGCGTTGGTAAGACCTAGTATCTTAGAAACGGGTAAATTTAGATTATATTAAGTGGATAAAAGACGTCCCCCATTGTGAGCGGCCCCCTGGGGTGTCCATTCATTCATTCTAAACAAACTATTTTTGGCAGGATAGCAGGAATACCACCCACTCCCTTTGTTGCTCTGTGGAAACGTGAGTGAGTACAAGAAATGATGAAAGAATTTGCAAGGAGTCTTTCGAAATACACATAATATAGATATTCAGAAGAATTATCTATCGGTACTTTTTTTTTAAAGCGTTACCCCCCCCCCCCCCCCCCCATTCTAAGGTGTTTCATCAAGAATATAAGCAGATCAAGTTTAGACTATCGTACAATATTGTCAAAGTCTTATGTTGTGTGTACGCCAAAACATCCCTTTTGTATCGTGGATCTCTTTACAAAATTACATCGGATATTTGATTTGAACGAAATTCTTCATTCTGCTGCTATTAAAGTGGCAGAGAATGTCCTGAAGAAAAAAAAAACTGTTCTAACATAATGTATATATAATGAATAAACTGGGATGGGCCTACTTCCTTGCAAAGTATATAACAAGCTGGTTGAATTTAACCTAGCTATTTCAGGTGACAAAATAATGATACCTATCTATTGTCAGATTTTCCTTACGTAAGAAAGGTGAAATGATTATTAAAGATGAGGCTTATGCATGTCTTTACTAATGTTTCAAAGATTATTTGTTAGGATTGATGAATAGGGTGCACAAACAATTAGGTATACAAAATGAAATAAATAATCACAAATCCATTGTTAAATTATTATTGTTTCAAAGTAAATTGTTGAAGAAAGGATGAATTTTCAAATTTTATCTCGACTTAAGCATTGTGCAATTTATTGTTTATTTCACAACGGATTCATGTGGAGAAAAAGAGATTACCCGTCTTAAAACATATTTTATAACGGTATTGTAAATATATAATTACATATGACATGATGACTGAATTTGATAACATATGCTTTTGTATATTGCATACTTTGATTATTGTAGGAACTTGTTAACGATATTTATTGGATAACACAATACACAATATACACAATATAATACTCATCTCATCATTGCACATTGCCAATGAGACGGAATACGAAGAATAAAATTGTATGATTACATCAATAAATGGCCCGATGATTTCAAATGTATTCAGCTCGTTTTGTGTATTTGTTTTTTAGACTTATTTAAATCCCAAATGCAAGGGAACAAAAAAAATAGAGACAAGAGATAAATAAAGAATACCAACGAATACATATATATTAAACTTTTCGTCTTGCACTCATCGGAGTAAATCAATAGAATGATCAACAGAAAAAACATGGAATGAATAAATTTACCCCAACATTAAAGGTAATACAAAGTTTTGGTATGGGGTCATGAATTTGCTCCAAATGAACATATTGGACGCATATGCGATCCTACAATATTCAGTGATCGTTGTCGAAATCGTTGTCGAAATCGAGTCTAAAGTTATGAAATTGTAAATAATACACTCTTTATTTTGTATAGCTCCCTCTCAAGGTCAATATATTAATTAAGCTATAAAACAACGTTTCTTGACTAAAATCGACCAAATAGCTTTTCCCGTTTGGTAATGTCACATCTACATATTCTGAGATTTTCATGGTCGCAGCTACCACTGTATGGCTGTAGGCGCTATTTGAAATTTATCACAATTTACCGGGAGCACCGGTAAATTTTTATATTCAATTTTTCTCGAAAGCAGAAGTGTTTTAGGGGCTAATTTTTCTAGTGCTTATAATATATCCACAGGGGGATCCAAATATATCAAAATTTTTAAGAATCACTATCCACCCAATTTTCAAAATTTACCAAAACTTTGTATTACCTTTAAACGATCCCCTTCTCTCACCCTCTCTCTCTCTATCTCTCTCTGTATGAATGTCTATTCTATCTCACTAGATATCTTGTTATGTTATGATATCATTTTGCAATTCGCTCTCTCAATCACTCTCTCTAGTTCTCTATTTCCATTTATCTCGTGATTATATACATTGTTTTTAGAGGGGTAATTTTTTAATTGACGTGCTCAAACATCCTTCGCATGAAATTTAATGATAGTAAAGTTTATTTGATACTCTATATCCGAGAATGAGATTCAAGATGAGTTGAGGGAACATTTCTTTGTAAACATAATCTACCATGATTTAAAGACTTCATGAGGGTGAGAACACGAGAGGGAAACGATGAATAAATAATGATAAGAATGAAGGATGATAGTTCACTCGATAAATTTTTATTCAAATATATAATAAAAATGATTTCAAGTCTTTACATCATATATCCTGAAGAAAGTAAAAACGTTTGCACTTTCATAAGCATAAACAGAGAAATTGTCATCCCAAATTTAAAAAATTACTGCAGTGTGTATATCAATTCAAAACAAACGACTTCCACGGTAAGTTTTTGTATCCAATTCCAAATCAATAAAGAAAACTAACTAAGTTCATAAAACTCATGAAAAAGTATGTAAAAAATGATGATTCAGTTAGGATGGGCTACCCCTCAATCGATCCCAATATAAGGCTACGTTCAGTGAACGCACGCTTACATAAAAGATTTCCTTATCTTGGTGGTAGTGGTGGCGAGGCAACTACATTTTCTGATTTTGAAAACGATTGGAATTGTGAATTAAAAACAAATAAGAGAAATCAAGAGATAAATACAAAAGTAAATTCATACAGAGATAGATTGATAGACATTTTATAAATAAATAGATAAGTAGATAGATATAGATAGATAGAAAGATATATATATATATATATATATATATATATATATATATATATATATATATATATTGATAGAGAGAGAGAGGGGTAGATAGTTAAACAGATAGAAAGACAGCGATAAAGATCCAGGGGCAGAGGGAGAGCAATAGAGAGAGAGAGAGAGAGGGGGGGGGGTAAAGAGAGAGAGAGAGAGAGAGATAAAGAGTGGGGAAGTGAGAGAAAGAGAAAAAAAGACAGAGACAGGGAGACAGAGAGAGACGAAGAGGAGAGGGATGGAATAAATGAAGGTAAGCGTTTGATGTAGGTGAGGGATGTTTTTTATTGGATTAAAAAGGTCGTTATCATCATACTCATTTTTGTAATACACTGTGCTTATTTTAGATGATTTTCTTGTGTATCATAAGTCATCAACAGGAGGTGAATAATGTACTATGCACGTCAAGGTAACGATTGAGTCTATTTTACATATTTGGAAACAATATAATGATCTCTTCTAGTATAACTTCATGTTACTGCGGACAATATTCATAACCTTACTCTAGAGGCCTCCGTCTAACACACGCTAACTCATCAATAAAATCAATATCTATAATCGAAAGCTTCTAATGACAAGTTTGTGATTAAAAATAATTAAACAATTTTATAAGAACCATTAAATGGTCACAAGTCTGTTCGTGTAGTTTTTTTAAATATATATGAGTTTGATCAAATTGCTGACAAAAAGTGCAACTCATCGTCGAATATAAATAAGAATAATTAAATGTATAAGAAATGAACATGTAGATTAATATATGCCACGTTGATCTAGTTATCAATGTTTAAATATAAAATGCATATGATTTTATTCTTCAATGAGTTCAGTTACAGTCCAATGATTTGGATTTTTGAATACCACCAAAGTCCCTTCTTGTTGCTGCGGCATTCATCGCTGCCTTCATGGTTAGCAGTTCGGATGTTGTTCTTTCCATCGTAAGATTGCCCATGATTTTCTTCAATCTGCCGTTAGTTGTCTTTGAGTTTGCCCGGGCTTCAAGTCTCGACACAGCTGATGTAATATTATTGCTTCCTGGTGCTGCTTGTATCAAAAGCTGACTCTTCCTTTGCATGATTCTTTCCTGGAGTTCTTCTTCTACTTCCTCTTGGATGTCACCATTTGAACGCTGGTTCAAGATTGGGGAGGACCGCATATTGCCTTGTCCCGGTGCCAGGGCTACCAGCGCACTCAACGACCCCATGCAAATAGTGCCCCTCCGAATCCGCAATCTTGACATTGCAGGTAACTCATCGTCAGTTTGGTTGGTGGTCGATGACGTTGACTCCTGCTCGGATGTGGCGGAGGCTGTATCAGAGAGTGAAATACCCGAATCCAATGAGCATGAGCCGCGCCGCTTAAAGACAGGACGTCCACCAACCAGACAAAGAGGAGATGCTGCCAGATGTCTCGGAGAAGAAGTAGAATCACTCTTCCTTGACATGACGTCAGGAGGTGGCGACGATCCCACGTCGATAACATCTCCTACCACCATTGCATCCAAGCGGGCTGCATCACCACCGTCTAACAAACTTATTGTCTGGATTAAGAGAAATCAGAACAAAAAGAAAAGACTGTTTTCAGTTTGCATCAATACATGCACCTTCGACATGTATCTTCTGGTCTCGTGAGATTTGCATTATCAACGCAATGGTCCAGTTAATCTGTTGTCGAATATTAAAGAATGGCATATAAAAGGACATTTAACAGTTTCTGTCGGTTGGTTTTGAGAGGTAAAGGGGAAATGAAATAACGGTTAAAGAAAATCACTGAAATTGGAATCCTTATTAAAGGTGCATATCTCCAGCAGCCTCTATTTGCAGATGTTCATGCTTCTTAGCTTTGTATTGTGTCATGTAATTCATTGACTTTATTATGACATGAAGATTATTTTTGCTCTATAATTTCCATGATATATTTGTTGCTGGTTTTAGTGGTGGCGGTGCCGCTGCATACAATGGAAATTTGATTTGTTCTTACTTTGATACACAGAAGTATCATAAATTTACGTTTCGATGATTTTAGCATGGTTTCCTTATACACGGTACATTTGATATTTGTATGAATATATCTAAATTTATTGAATAAATAAATGAACGATAGAATAAATAAAAAAAATATATGAACAAATAAATTGATAGATAGATAAAGAATGAATAAACAAAATAATGTAGGCATTTATTCATTTACTTATTTATCTTTTTCTGCAGTTATTTATTCATTTATAATAACTGAATAGTTTTGGAAATGCAAGTAAGTAATACAATTATCAGCGTAAGATTTAGAAGTATTAATCTTTATTTAGTAAACAAATGAGAAATATCTTCCTTCATCGGTGAATTTCCACTTAGACAGAAATGTAACTTCTTTTTCTGTTTCAATTTAAATACAAGTTAATTATGTTTGAATATCTGGTAATTCGTCAGAACGAAAGATGAATAGCAATATGCTATTTTGTTAGGTCATTATAATATGGGTCTGTCGTATCGGTGCGCCAAGATCAGTGAAAAATACTATCAAATGAATTAAATCAATATTTGTACATAAAATACATGGAAAAACAAAACTCTGTTTATGTCAAGAAGTCTCTAAAATCTATGACCTGTTCTTAATTACCTCGAACGTGTCTGGTTGCGAAGCATCTGATTCAGTTTCAGAGGTAATCGATGATCTCCTGGATAACGATGGTCGAGCTAGACTATGATTGGCTCTGATAGGTGCAGGCGACATCCTCGGACTGTTTTGCATCGACTTCACTGATGATGGCGACGAGATACTCTCTCTGCTTCCACCGATCTTCAAGTTGGCGATGGCTTTCGATCTCTCCCTCATCAAAACTTCGAGCTTGTGTCGATTGGCTTGTAGAGTGCTGGTCACTGATGTTCTCTTGTTTACTTTACTTGGTGAAGATGAATCAGTAGACTTAACTGGAGAGCTCCTCTGTGGAGATGGCGATGGGGGATGAGGAACGGTAAGTTGAGAACTAGGTGTTATTGGCAAAGAGAAGCGACGTCGAGATAGGGCACGAGCGATCGCAGGGTTTCCACCTGTAACATCAATTTCAGGCCCAGATGATGAGGTCTGTGAATTAGTTTTGAGTTCCTGTGGTGATGATGTGTTCGTCACTTCTAAATTGGAATTTGAAGACGTCTTTTCACTGTTTGCTAAAGGAACAGGGGAGATGGACCTACTTGGAAGCAGTGGATAGCGGTTTGGAGACAGAGACGTTCTTCGTGGTCGGTCAAACTTTGGTGGTGCAGGAGTCAAACATCTATGATCTGGAGCTAGACTCGCTCTTCTTCCCATTCTTGCGCGTGCTGGAGGGCAAGCAGCAACAGTTCGTGCAACCACCGTCCATCTGTACCTGCTCTTTATTCCCTCCTCACCCTCTTCTAAATTTTCAGCGTCTCTCCCATCATCGACTTCGCTTTTGCTGCTGTAACCGTCATTATTATTTTGTTCTTCAATATCTTCGCCGTTGACGAACCTGAGGGCCTTCTGCGCTTCGGGACTGGCAAACAAGCTTAAAGAAATTTCAGGCACCACTGCCGGATTCACGCCCGTAGGTTTCACAAGAGTATGCTCCCCAGATTCATTCCGTTTAGAAAGAGTACCGTCATCACTTCTGATACCTGCTGCAAAGATAGGTAGTTCCTTGTTCTCTACGATTCTCATTGTGTCCGATCTGTCAGTAAACTTGATGTAGACTGAAGATGACACGAGTAGATTATTTTTATGTGTTAACTCCACAAGATTCAGAATTGAAATGAGCATGTCAATCTCTTCCAAATTTTCCCTGTATCCCTGTCCACTCAGGCGTATATAATTGGGTCTCTTCATCGACTTTGGGCCTGGTGCCTAGAACAACTTAGAACCGCATTTCGTTGTTTGAGGACGAATCAATTAAAATGTTTTGCGACAAACCACAAGTTCAATACAGATCTAGTAAAATTTCCATAATAAAATCCCATTATTGCACCGAATCTCTCAATATTTAAGTTTACTCTCCTGAACACACGAGCTTATCTTAAAGGGACTTGGTAACATTGTTCAGATGAGAGATAGTGGTGCTAAGGTAGTGACTTCAATGCTAGATGTACACTTAAAGATACTCTGAAAATTTAAGTGAAAACAGACCATTATACATGGTATACATTGAGAAAAACTGATCTGATCGATTCCTTAATTCTCCCAACTATATTATTACAATATAATTACATTTTAGGTGAATGGAAATCGTCACAGAGCAATAAAATGGCTCTACATTCCATTCCAGACATTTAAGTGTTGACAGATTTTTTTATAGTCTGTTTTATGTCATTTTTTTCATGGAAAAATGGTTGGAAGAATTTACTGTTAATCACTGTTAGAGGGTGTCAAACATCGACTCCTTCAAAAAAAAAACCATAGATATCTTCGTGGTTTGAGAATTTTTTCAGGATTTTTTGCATGTCAGAGGGTTAATACAGTAAAAGGAATATAATTAAGCAATTTTTTCATCAACCTTCAACAATGTTACCAAGTCACTTTAAAGAGGGGAGGAGCAATAGGAAACTGTCCACTCCTCAAACAATTTATAAATGATGAAAATTGTAGTTTAAAAAGTTCATATAGTAAAAAAAGAGTGTGTTATCAAACTGCCTATATATTTCACAGAAATAAGATTTTTTTTTCCCCACAAACTATTTTCTGCTCGGTTGCAATGGGACCTCATAAAATAGTGTTTAGGTAAAGGTTGTAAAGGACATTGACGAATAGGTGCATGTGATCCATTTATCTCTATATTCAATAAGCCTCTGCGACAATTATCGACTTTAGCGATGTTTAGCGACAATTAGCAACATTTTGAGCAAATGTTTGCGAAAGTGTTTGCGAAAGTCAGTTAGCGACTAATAGCAACTGTAAGCAAATGTCAGCGACAGTTTTTGCAAATATTAGCAACTATTTTCCAATCCTTTGGCACTATTTGTTAATATTTGGGATCTTTTGCTAAGTCCTGGTACTCAATGGGTCGATTTTATATAGGAACCATATGGTAACTTGGTCGCTAGCATTGGCGAATCAACAAAAAAACTTCAGCGACACCGTCTTACAACCGTTGGAAAGGCTTACGACGTGACTGTTTGGCAAATGCGGAAAATAAATATAGGTCATATTATACGCAAAGAAAAATCGAATTTAGGGTTTCGCCAGGTTTCGAAAAAGGTTGCAAAAGGTTCGTAAAAGTTGCAAGAAAGTTTGCAAATACTTTTCATTGTCGCAAACAACTTTTCTCGTCGCAGATTTTGAACTTGTTCAAAATTTCTTTGCGAATTTATTTTTCCACAAACAGTTGCAAGCGTTTGCAAGACAGTCGTAATCCTTTGCTAACGGCTGTAAGACGGTGACGCTGAAGTTCTTTTTTATTCGATTATGCCATCGACCACGTTTCCATATTGTTCCTATATAAAATTGACCCATTCAGTACCAGGAGTTAGCAAAAGGTCCCGAATCGTGGCATAGGATTGGCAAATAGCTGCTAATATTTGCAAAAAATTGTCGCTAACATTTGCTTACAGTCGCTAGTAGTCGCCAACTACCTTTTGCAAACACTTTTGCAAACACTTACTCAAAGTGTTGCCAATTGTCGCTATAAACATCGCTAAAAGTCGCTAAATGTCGCAGAGGCGAACCCTGATTTTCGCCTACATTCGTCAGAATAGTTGGCGAATCCAAATTCGCGACGTTCGTAAGCAATCCCCGCTCAGTGAGGTACCCCCTTTAATGGGGAAGGGAGTAGGGAACGGGAAACGGATCAATAACTATACTGACCTTTTGTGGTATTTGATCATTATTTAACAAGTACATTTTTAGCTAATTTGATCAGAAGTCTCATACTTGTTTCCATTATCAATCCATAGTTTTATTCTTGTTTTTGTTTAATGTATTGTACTATTTCCTTGTTTTAGATTGAATTCTAATTAGATTGTTTAATAAAGAGCTATTTTGCAAATACTTTTTGTGTAATGTACTGAGGAGACTGTCCTGTATAAAGACCGTACAATGCATCAATAAACAGGACAGTCTAGAAGACAATAAAACCCATGAATATGACAAGAATAATTTAAAGAAATGATATAATATGTCAAGACGACGAGGGAAGCAATGCTGAAATCCATCTTATAAAACGCGTTTGTGACCAGCGACACGTGTGACATACAATGGACGCCCAAACTGACAGAGGTATGAATGGATTCGAGCACAACGAGATCAATAAACACTTTCTCTAAATTAATCGGGGATTATCACTTAAAGAGGCATTTCAAAGAATAGTCGAATCTTCCTAGACACAGTCCTGTAATCACGAGAAGGGATTATGGTATAGAACCTACATGCAATAGAACCCGTCATTCATTAAATCGATAATGATGATGATGGTGATGATGACGATGTTGATTTACCTGAATAATTATTATGACGAAAATTTGCAGGTAAAGCATCTAGGGTATCGGCTTTAAGACTTATCCGAGGGACTTGCTGGTAATACGTATCGCACCAAAATAATGGCACCAGTCAATCACGTGCTGCTCAATGAAAACAATACAATAAGATTCCGTGAACGACATTACCATTCAAAGTAACGTACATTCGGGGAATGAATGTGTTAACAGATGAAAATAAAGTCTTGCCCCTTGATATACAAATATGGTGCAAATATGATGCGTTTATATAAAATGGAGGGGGGGGGGTGGTAGGTAAACTATTATAACATCGCCCTCTTTTGTTTAGTTTGAACGTTGATGTTAACAAAGCTAAGCTCTTTCACAGCTTCTTTACATCTTCTATTATTTATACCATACTGTGTGTGAACTTGAGCAGTGTGCGATTGTTTATGTTAAGGGAGATCACCATAGTAACCGGTCATGACTGGAAAAGCTAGATGAATGAGCTCAAAAATATAAAACAAATTTTGCAAGATTAGTATAAGTGCAAATCTTACAGGAGGAACAATGATATACGCAAGGACATTGTTTTGTTGATCACCTCAGTTAAAGGGAAAGTCCACCCCAAAAATAAGTTTGTTTCGATAGAGGCAGAATAATAAGAAAATCAGGTGAGTGAAAGTTTGAGCAAATTCTGAATGAAAATAAGAAAGTTATGAATTATTGAAGTTGTGATCAATCAAATACAAATTGGCAACTCTGTGACTTGTCATACGAGCTCTCCTTCATTTGCTTTGTGCATAATATTCCATAAAATCATGTTTTCTTCGTTATTGATGACGGAATATATATTTGTTCCTTGCAGGGGGAGTATAGAAACATATTTGCAATTATTATATTTAGGGTGCATGTATGGTTGAAATTTTTCTTGAGGGAAAATGAAAATTTTAGATTTTTTTAGTACTGAGCAAATGGAAGTTGAGCTCGCATGATACGTCATAGAGTTGCCAATTTGTGTTTGATTGATCACAACTTCAAAAATCCTAACTTCCTTATTTTTAATCGGAATTTGCTCAAACTTTCACTGACTTGTTTCTCTCATTTTTCTACTCCTATTAAAACTAACTTAATTTCAGGGTGGACTTTCCCTTTAATATAGGAGGATTTGATACTAAAACGAATTCCGCACGCCCCTCTATTATAGACAAAATGTATCGACATAAGTGTCGCGTGAGTACCAGTCGTGATAAAAAAGGCGACAAGATTTGACCTGAGAAGTCGTGCAGTATTTAACCAAATAGTCACAACTCACACTACCGCATTAACGTGTTTTAAAAGCCCCCCCCCCCCTATCTCCTATATTCAGTGTAGAGTCACTATGTGGCTCTGTTCTGTGCCATGCTCCTGTTGTAATCGGTCGTTACCTAGTGACAGTTTTCATATTATTTATTACTTTATTACAATCTTTAATAATACATTCGTTATATTTTTCAATCAAATATTGACATGGCCAAACAATTGTCGCGCAATTGTCAACGGAATTAAGCCCCTGCAACTGTCGTTTGTGTTGTCAGTTCAATTTTGGATTGAATAGAGTTAAATGGACGAGATCTTGTTCATTGTCATGACTAGCACGCTAGCAGTGGGGACACAAGGAATTTAAAGTTGAAGGGGATGTCTAAAGGGTGAGAGCAAATAGTGGAGGGTGGGACCAATTCTTGGAGGGTGATACAAATTCTTGGAGAGCGAGTTCTTTCTTGATCCGGCCAGAACAGATAACTGAATGATGTCACCCTGCTCTTTGAAACGAGAAAAAATACTCGTTTGAAATGTGTTGCTTTTGATAGTCATCCAAAACGGCGCATTCAACGGCAGTCGGTTGCAACCAACAACAACACAAATTATTTCGGAAAGAAAAAAAAAGGGGGGGGGGGAGAGGCGACCCTTGATGCCACCATGCAGTGTCCAAGTTCACTGTACAGGAAGTGAATGGGACGGTGATATCGACTTGAGCTGCTGTTATGAGTGATTAAGACTCTATTTTAAGCGATTCGCCTTGCTATATTGATTGAATAAAAATGTCAATTAGGGTCGTTTTCTTTCTCTATTCATAAGACATGCTCCTCTTGAAAAGCTCAGTTGCTTCGTTAAGATGGGATTAACAGGGGATTAAAAACTAAAATTATGTCACAAAGAAACAAAAGGAATCGGGGAAGGTCGAGTGGTCAAATAACACGTCTATTCTGTGCATAGTGATATAACATTCCAACTTTTTTTTCCAAGGCACGCTATCAATCGATTTCGCAAAGAAACGACAATGAATGTGGGACAGACTTTAGTTAGCCCAAACGTGCGACT